CTGCACAGCCCAGCATCTCTGCTCATTGGGTTCCTGTTTGCTGCACTGTGATCTTCTCCCCTGTGCCTTGCTGGGGACCCCCTGAGATTCCAGCTTCAGGGGTGAGMTCTGCTCCATCCCATCTCGTAGCCATGGGATTCTGCTCGTCTTTTTGCCGTCCTGGGGTTTCTTGCTGTCCAGAGGAGCACCGAGATCAGCGTTTCCGCTGTGAGTTTGCAGAGGAACTTTTCTCCATCCATCTCTGCTGTTCTGTGTCCACCATTGGTGATGCGGGAGATCTGAGCCAGCCAGGACCCGCACCACAGCGCCCCCTGCAGCCGCTGGGGAATCATCACACCCGCCCTGCCCAGCCAGGAGCCAACAGCGCCCCTGCTGACTGGGACTGTAACTACACCAAAAGGGGAGGGTGTCTCTCTGTGTGAGGCTATCATTGGGTTTTGGGACTGGGCTGGTTGTTGCTATTGTTATTGTTATTTGTTTCATCTTGTTAYACATATTAGTAAAAACTGTTATTCTCTTTTGCCCATATTCTTGCCTGAAAGCCCGTGATTTTTCAAAGCTATAATAATTTGGAGGGAAGGGGGGTCATATCCACCACTCCAAGGGGGGTCCCTGCCTTCATTGGCAAACACCTGTCTTTCCAACAAAGACACTGTATTAGTGGAGGAAAAAAAATATTAGATGACATTAATGATGAGCAGAGATTTTGAGGGGAATTAAATTTCTTTCGGAAAAAAAAAGAAGCAGAATCAAGATTCAGTAATATTTAGCAATGTGACCCTTTGATACAGTCATCTGCCATGACACCTGAGCTGGGTGATTTGAGGAGTGCATCTCATCCCATCCAAGTGACATAAGACTCTCTCATCTTACCAAATACTGAACTCAGATGCTGATGGAAAACATCATTTGATTTCAAGTTTCTAAGAAGCAGCTTTAAAAATATGAAGATTATAAMCAGATTAAAGGATTCAATTACCTCCAGATTAATGATATTTGCTGTTCAAGCCATCACAGCACCTCTGAAGATTTCTGACTTCCCAGGCTTAGCAGACCTGGTCTTTCCTGATTGTGGAGCTTTGCAGAATGAGGCTGATAACTTTTCTGTGATGGCTAYAGGATACTGCCAGCTAGACCTTGTGTAGGGGGCTGATCTGCTTATGCAGATCCATTTCCTGTTAAGTGAAACAACAAAGCCTCAAAACTTGTGCTCTCAAGTGATAAAGGAAAGATGGATTTTTATAATTATTTCTAGGATCTGCATGTATCTCAGTAAAACNCTGCTAGCTGCTCAGGGGAGAGCTGACCTGCCCTTTTTCTGCACAGCCCAGCATCTCTGCTCATTGGGTTCCTGTTTGCTGCACTGTGATCTTCTCCCCTGTGCCTTGCCGGGACCCCCTGAGATTCCAGCTTCAGGGGTGAGCTCTGCTCCATCCYATCTTGTAGCCATGGGGTTCTGCTCTTTTTTTTGCCATCCTGGGGTTTCTTGCTGTCCAGAGGAGCACCGAGATCGCCGTTTCCGCTGTGAGTTTGCAGAGAAACTTTTCTCCATCCATCTCTGCCGTGCTGTGTCCACGACTGGCGATGCAGGAGATCTGAGACAGACGGAACCCACACACAGCACACCCTGCAGACGCCGGGAATCATCGCACCCGCCCTGCCTGGCCAGGAGCCAACAGYGCCCCTGCYGACTGGGACTGTAACTACACCAAAAGGGGAGGGTGTCTCTCTGTGTGAGGCTGTCATTGGGTTTGTGTAAGGTTGTCATTGGGGCTGGGTTGGTTGTTGCTATCATTGTTATTACTTGTTTCACCTTGTTATACATATTAGTAAAAACTGTTATTCCCTTTTACCCATATTCTTGCCTGAACGCCGATGATTTTTCAAAGCTGTAATAATTCGGAGGGAAGGGGGGTCATATCCACCACTCCAAGGGAGGTCCCTGCCTTCATTGGCAAACACCTGTCTTTCCAACAAAGACAYTGTATTAGTGGAGGAAAAAAAATATTAGATGACATTAGTGATGAGGAGAGATTTTGAGAGGAATTAAATTTCTTTCKGAAAAAAAAAGCAGGATCAAGATTCAGTAATATTTAGTAATGTGACCCTTTGATATAGTCATCTGCCATGACACCTGAGCTGGGTGATTGGAGGAGTGCATCTCATCCCATCCAAGTGACATAAGACTCTCTCATCTTACCAAATACTGAACCCAGAGGCTGATGGAAAACATCACTTGATTTCAAGTTTCTAAGAAGCAACTTTAAATATATGAAGATTATAAAGAGATTAAAGGATTCAATTACCTCCAGATTAATGATACTTGCTGTTCAAGCCATCACAGCACCTCTGAAAATTTCTGACTTCCCAGGCTTAGCAGACSTGGCCTTTCCTGATTGTGGAGCTTTGCAGAATGAGGCTGATAACTTTTCTGTGATGGCTATAGGATACTGCCAGCCATTTCCTGTTAAGTGAAACAACAAAGCCTCAAAACTTGTGCTCTCAAGTGATAAATAAGGAAAGATGGGTATTTATAATTATTTCTATGATCTGCATGTATCTCAGTAAAACACTGGAGAAGCCTTCCATAAATTAYTCCTCTAAAATCACCTACTAAGTTTTAAGATAGATCCATTAAGATTTGAAGAAAAAAAAAAAAAAATGGATGCCTGCAGGGGTAGGGAAATTCCCTGGGCTTCTATGAGTGAGTCCATGAAAAGCAGGGCTTTAAGTAGAATTGGGTCTATAATGGAAATATGTATCTTATGTGGCATTTATCCCTTTGAATAATTTAATATGTATCTGATCAGAGGAGAGTCACAGTCTTCAATCAGAGCCCAGGGTGGTAGGAAATCTTAGGTTAGGT